TAACCGATTTCTTACATCTATATAAAGATGATAAGTGTTCCTAAATCGGGTTGATCACTCATACTCTAAAAAATCATATTGATTCTCTCTATCTCCTCAAGAACACAAAACAACAAGGTATTATTCTGTGTTTCGAATTTAGAAGTGGTATGACTTCTAAATTGATTCTCTTGGATTATCCCAAATCAAATTTCATGATATATCATGCATAAGGGTCGAAATCACAGATTTTGGAAAATGATTGCAATCACGATCCTAAAATTTTTCCAAATAAATATTAATATTCTAAAGACCCAAAAATCTAACAAATAACATAAATAAAAATATAAAATATAGATTATTATTATACAAATAATAAATTGAAAATGAATAAGTTTAAAATTAAATAACCTATTTGTACTAATAAATAATCTAACTGTTGGATTAGGTGTCTAAGCCCATAACTAAAATTGGTATATACTTGAATTGATAGTAGCACAATCCTTTTGGGGAGCCCTTAAACCTAGAAATTGGACATGATGATTTTTAGAGAGAGAGATTAATTTATTATGGGACTAATAAATTAAATAAATGGTTTATTAATGTGTTATGAAAATAATATATTAATTAGAAATCATATTATTTAATTAATAATTAATCAGAAAGTAATTGAAATTAATTTTTAGATTATTTGTATTATCCTAAAAGTTTTCGTCCAAGGCCCTTAGGTAAAGGGATTGGGTTGCTTGGTCACCAAGCAAAGGGATCTAGGGCATATCTCTTAAACCCTAGCTTTGACACCAAATTTCCTTAACTATATAAGGAACCCTTAGGTCCCATATTTCGGCCACTCATTCTCTTCCCAAGGCTTGGATAAAATCTTGCTTCCCCTCTCCTCTCTCTTATATTATCCTCTTGCTAGCTTGGGTGTGATTCCATTACAGGCACGACACTTGTGGTGCTTGCTTCCAAGAGATCAACAAAGAAGAATTCTAGTTGTTTGTTATAACAACTAAAAGATATGTAATCCTAAAACCCTCTCATTTTAATTTCGGAAAATACCCAAGGGTTTCCAGATTTCTTTTGATGTCCTTAGTTATAGGTACAACAGAGAAAACATAGATCATATTTAGGTTGCATGCAAACTTAAGGGTTTTAATTTTGTTTGTTTACCTAAATCTCACCAGTAACATTATATTTCGTTTGCTAAAATAGTATAACATCATATTTGGTGTTATACTATTGGCACAAAAAGTTTTGTGTAACATTCATAACATTTAGTATTGTGATATTATAAAATTTATATAACTTGGTGCAAAAATTACTTATATTCTTGGGTTGAAGATAGGTTAAAGATGCCTAAACACGCAATTCAAAACCACTCTAAAATTAAACCAAAACACCAAATATCCCAGTTTATAATTTTAGACCTAAAATCAGCCCACTTGAAAAGCTCTTCATCAAGCTAACAGAGCAATTAGTTAGACAAGTACGTTGGAAGTACATATCGCTACAGGGAAAAGCCCTTGCTCGTATGTATAACACATTCCCTGCCTACATGGACTCCACGTCACCAGTTATGTTCACGTAGTCAATGGTATAATAGAACAAAAAAGACGATCAGTTGGATACAATTAAAAGTTTAGTGACTTAAAGATCATATAAAGAGGTATTGCCTTATTGGTTTCCATTTTATAACCTTTTACAATTAAATAACCATTTGGCCATAAAGTATTACATATTTATCATGAATTTTTTTTTCTAGCTTTAAGACAGCATAAGATTCAAAATGAACCGAACAAACATATGCACATAATATTTAGACTTAAAACCTTGATTACCATGACAAAGTTTTACTCATTTGAATATATATTTTTTATTAACCATCGATATTGTAAGTATCAAAGTTTTTGATAGACACTTAGGTGAAATTAGGCTTTAAGATATAAAAAACATGTATGATACAAGTTAGTGACGTAGAAAGATGAAAGGTATGAAATACACCATACCATGAACAATTTGAAGACATTGTTGGCACCCAAAAACTTTGTAAACATAGGCAAACTTTTAAGGTTTGTAAGGGAGAAATATGGCAAAAAATGCATTTTGAAGCACATCTGTGGCGTAAAAGCTTTCACACAACCATATTAACTTCAGTATTGCGGTTATTGAACTTAGTGATAGACACTAACAAGAAATTAAAGTTTTGTATATGTACAAATTTCACATTAAACAGGTTATGAGGTATTCTGGATATCGAAGTTAGTAATATACAAATGGACATATATATATATATATATATATATATATATATATATATATATATATATATATGTCCATTTGTATATTACTAACTTCGATATCCAGAATACCTCATAACCTGTTTAATGTGAAATTTGTACATATACAAAACTTTAATTTCTTGTTAGTGTCTATCACTAAGTTCAATAACCGCAATACTGAAGTTAATTAAAAAAAATCTATTGAGTAAAACTTTGGCATGATAATCTGAAGGTTATGAGTTTGTATGTTGTGTACATATATGTGTGCATATGTGTTACTTTCAATCCGATGTTAGTTACAAACTAGTAAAAGTTTATTGATGATAAATATGTGGTCTTTTTATGATCAACTATTTGTTTAAATGGAAAATGACATAAATATGTTTGTTTGTTTGTTTTTTCTTTTAAGTACTTGTGTCTGTAGGTGAGAATACATTTACGCCCGTGCATTCTTGGAGGCTGTTTGTTTTTTAGAAAACCGCATACGTACAAATGTTTGTGCATCCTCTTCTCCAAAAAGACATGGACCAAAATCTACAAGTGTAAAGACATTTCTTGTAGACATCTTCTAGCCAATAACTAAATATTAAATTATTTTATATATAATTAAGGATCCTTCATTTTTTTTTCTTTTTTCTATTTTTTGATCGACAATATTTTAGTTGATTTTTATATAAAAATTATTTATTGTTTGATATCCAAATATAAAGCATCGTAAACAGAATCGGTTAAATGACGTTCACAAATTAAACATTTATTTATCCTATAATTTGTGTAAATATAATAAAATCATATGTTATAGGTCAATTTACCAAAAATAATTATATTAACTTTGTGCAAATTAAAATATCTTTTTTTTTCTGAAAGCGTTGAATTAATTTTTTAAGATTATTTTCAATAAGATTTTTATGTGAAGATTATAATAAACACAAATTAATGTGGTTTTTTTTTGTAATTATAAAATATAATGTTTTTCTTCGGAAATTCAACCACATCCCTATATTGAAGAGGATGACATCATATCTATTGGTTACACAAAGGACCGTCACCATTGTATGTTTCACGTTTCATAATTTTATAAGGAAAAACGTTTTGAGCGATGTGTTCTTCACTCAATACGAATAACCCAATATGTCGTTTCGAATTATATGGAATGAATAATATAAAAAATGTTATTGTGAATGTATGAATTATATTTCAGTGCTGTAAAACTAGAATTATATAAAATTCAGTGTTGAAGTACCTTTTTAAGTTAAAAAAAACTAATTTATTTATATTTCAGTTTATTTTAACAGTTTGCATACCATAAAAACAAACAATCTTGTTTTTGCAGTCTGCATACGTTTGGTGCACCATTTCTTCTACATATGTCTACAAATATGATTTGCAAAGTAGATACATTTACCTCTTAAAAACATACATCACCTAAGTCACTAAACTTCTAATTGTATCCAACTAACCAACAAACGTTTTTTTGGTTCTATTACCATTGACTGTATGGACATAACCGAGGATGTGGAGTCTATATAGGCAGAAAATGTGTTATCCCTAATAAAAAGGCAAAGTCGACGGTGTAATAAACCAAAAAAAAATGTTTGTTAATAAGATATTATTAAAAATTAATTAATTTAAACAAAAAATAAAATATTAATGGTTGTCATTTACTATATTTTTCTTTTAAACCAAATAGTCTTTTGTTTTAGAGCAATCAAATACCTTTATATTTTTTTTCCTACTCATTCTCTTATTCATTTAAAATTATGACAAATATCATATTTAATTAAGTTAATAAATATTTAAGACAGTTGTTGCAATCTAAAATGGATAGAAAGAAAAATATGAATATTAAATAACCTCCTTTTTTATATCCATCCTCCTACTTATTTTAGATTGCTATAAGTGTCTTAAGTATTTATTAATTAAATTAAATATGACAATTCATAATTTTAAGTAAATAAGAGGATGAATATGAAGAAAAAATAAAAGGATAATTGATTTTTGTATTTCTTTGTTTTAATATATTATGACAAAAATGTATATCTTGGAATAAATTAAAAATATATAAGCTAATCGTTTTAAAAAACAAAAAGAAAAACTAGGAGTTGATAGGTGTGGGCTCATAAGTTTGTAAGCTACAGAGGTAACATTATTACAACGTCTTCATAATTTTAGTTGTTTTTATTTGAAGTGAAATAGATATTTTGTGTTGGTAAATTTATGTTTTTTTTTTTTTTTTTTTCGTTTTTATAGAAACCGCAAGTTAGTATATATCAGGGATTCACCTTGTTAGAAACATCTTCTTATATAACTTGTTATTTCTCGTTTGTTTTGGTACTTTTTGACAGTTTATAACTTTATATTAATTTATTTTATTTTTAAAACAATGCGATATTTATTGTGCATTATTTATTTTATTTTATTTTTAAAACAATTCGATATTTATTGTGCATTATTTAAATATTGTTGCAAAGTATTGATTTATGTTACATAATTATTATCTGTTTTATATTAGCCCAAAATGCAAGCTAAGTCAATGGCTTCTTCTAACTAACAACCCTCCATTAAATTCTCATTACTCATCTATTCTCTCTCTTTTCATCATCTTCATCCCCCAATCCACCATAGCTTCAATCCTCTGTAAGCTCCATTCTCACCTGCTCATCTCTCGTTTCCTTCCGACATATCCGAATTTAACATATACACAACACAATCCCAATCAGTTGAATTTCTTTGATTTAAATGGGTTGCTCTGCTTCTCGTTCTTCTCCACCATTTCACTTCACCACCACCACCATCACCACCACCGCCGCCTCCGCATTCGCCGATCACCAACACCCACCGTCAAATTCCTCCACCTCTTCACCTTCCCCTCACCATTTCTATTCCCCATTCTCAGATCACTATTACAACTCATCTTCAACACAAACCCCTGTTTCGCGAACCATGTCTCTACCCACTCCTCTAATCCATCATCCTCCCCTCCGAAAAGGCGATTCAAATCACTTCGTCTCCCTCACTTCCACCACATACGGCTCCCTCATCCTCATCGACAACAACACCACCACCACCACCACCGACAATAATAGAACCCTAGAAGAACACCCGGCTTCGTCTCCAGACTCCGTGATTAACACCTGGGAGCTCATGGAAGGTTTAGATGATGAATTTGATATGATTTAACGATAATCCGAAGCAACCCAATTCTTACTTTGGAAAATTAAGTAACGTATCGAAGGAAAAAACCTATGTTTCTTTCGGGTTAGGTGGTCCGTACGAATTGGTGGAGCATTCGGAGCCTAAGCCTTTGTGGAAGCATTTATCTGAAGAATCACTGCTATCGAAAATGGATTCCAATTTGGTTTCTAGTTACAACAAAGCATTGTCTTCTAGAGTTCTTGGTTGCAAAGAATCGAAATTAGCAAGTCATCCCGTTACAGAAATCACCGATACAAAAGGGGGTTGTGTTCTATCTGGTTGTGAAGATAGAATCGTATTGTACTACACAAGTTTGAGAGGAATCCGAAAAACTTACGAAGATTGCTGTGAGATTCGAATGATTTTAAAAGGGTTTCGAGTTTTCATCGATGAAAGGGACATTTCAATGGATTCCGCTTACAAAGAGGAACTACAAGGTGTTTTTGAAGGTAAAGGATTCACTCTGCCACAACTGTTCATCAAGGGTAAACATATCGGTGGTGCAGATGAGATCAAACGGCTTCACGAGGAAGGAAGTTTGTTTAAGTTTATGAAGGGTTTTCCTATTATTGATCCTGGGTTTGTTTGCGATAATTGTGGGGATGCAAGATTTCTGCCATGCCCAAATTGCAATGGCAGCAGGAAGGTTTTTGAGGAAGAAGAAGGGAGATCGATTAGGTGCCCTAATTGCAACGAAAATGGATTGATCAGGTGTGCAATTTGTTGTTCTTGATTGATTGATTAATCACAATCACAATCACACGTACATACTAAGTTTCTTATAGTAATCGTTAGTAGTCGTTCTGGATGACGATGATGAAATCATTGGTGGTGTAATTGGTATTTAAGCTCTTTGAAACTTGTTCATCTTCAGGTAATAAGAAGATTAATATCTATTTATTCCCATTGTTGTTTTAAGACCATTTTGTTTCTGTCATTTAGCATACAACAATCTATGGATTTCTAAACTCTAAAATGGCTTTTTTTAATGTCGCCGAAAAGCTTTTGGCAATTAATAGAATGTTCCACTTTAAACAAATGAGTTTTGACATGGGGCACCAATACATGTTCATGTAGGGCATATGTTTGAAAAAACCACTAAGGGGTTTTCACTATATATTGAAATTATCTGAGTGTTTAAATAGACCCAAAATTAATTTAGTGGGTTTTTTTTCGGTTATTGCCATATAATATATTGTGTTTTATGACATTCGCTCCTTCATATATTTGTTCATGTAAGAGGGCTATTCTACATGAGCTAACCACCAATCCATTAGCATTATGTGATATGTAAATAGTGTTGGATGATTGATATAAGATCCTGACATGTCGTGACCATGGCTCACCACGACATTACAACAACCAAAATGACCGCATCATTCCTTTGGTGCTCAGAGGGAGATTGCCTTGGGTTATCAAAACAAAGTTTCACACCTTGATGGGTGTAGGGGTGAGCATTTGGACCGGTGGACCGGACCGGACCGGATCGGACCGTTTTTTTGGACCCCCGGGCCGGTTCTCGGTTCTAGGAATCCATGCCGGTCCGGTCCGGTTTTTTTCCCGGTCCGGTCCGGTTTTTTTCCCGGTCCGGTCCGGTTTTTACCGGGTTTAGACTATAATTTTGTTGATGAATTTAGACTATAATTTTGTTGATTTTGGTATTATATTCAATGAGTTACAGTCTTTCAAAGTTGAGCTATCAAAGCTGAAAAATTTCAGCTTTTCAGTAACATTTTTTAAATTTTGTAATCTGTGAAAATGTTTAAACAACCATAACTCATTCATTTTAAGTCGGATTGACACGCGGTTTTTTCCAACGTTTAATTTACAGTTTGTAGATGAATTTAGACTATAATTTTGTTGATTTTGGTATTATATTCAATAAGTTACAGTCTTTCAAAGTTGAGCTATCAAAGCTGAAAAATTTCAGCTTTTCAGTAACATTTTTTAAATTTTGTAATCTGTGAAAATGTTTAAACAACCATAACTCATTCATTTTAAGTCGGATTGACACGCGGTTTTTTCCAACGTTTAATTTACAGTTTGTAGATAAATTTAGACTATAATTTTGTTGATTTTGGTATTATATTCAATGAGTTACAGTCTTTCAAAGTTGAGCTATCAAAGCTGAAAAATTTCAGCTTTCAGTAACATTTTTTAAATTTTGTAATCTGTGAAAATGTTTAAACAACCATAACTCATTCATTTTAAGTCGGATTGACACGCGGTTTTTTCCAACGTTTAATTTACAGTTTGTAGATGAATTTAGACTATAATTTTGTTGATTTTGGTATTATATTCAATAAGTTACAGTCTTTCAAAGTTGAGCTATCAAAGCTGAAAAATTTCAGCTTTTCAGTAACATTTTTTAAATTTTGTAATCTGTGAAAATGTTTAAACAACCATAACTCATTCATTTTAAGTCGGATTGACACGCGGTTTTTTCCAACGTTTAATTTACAGTTTGTAGATGAATTTAGACTATAATTTTGTTGATTTTGGTATTATATTCAATGAGTTACAGTCTTTCAAAGTTGAGCTATCAAAGCTGAAAAATTTCAGCTTTTCAGTAACATTTTTTAAATTTTGTAATCTGTGAAAATGTTTAAACAACCATAACTCATTCATTTTAAGTCGGATTGACACGCGGTTTTTTCCAACGTTTAATTTACAGTTTGTAGATGAATTTAGACTATAATTTTGTTGATTTTGGTATTATATTCAATAAGTTACAGTCTTTCAAAGTTGAGCTATCAAAGCTGAAAAATTTCAGCTTTTCAGTAACATTTTTTAAATTTTGTAATCTGTGAAAATGTTTAAACAACCATAACTCATTCATTTAAGTCGGATTGACACGCGGTTTTTTTCCAACGTTTAATTTACAGTTTGTAGATGAATTTAGACTATAATTTTGTTGATTTTGGTATTATATTCAATGAGTTACAGTCTTTCAAAGTTGAGCTATCAAAGCTGAAAAATTTCAGCTTTTCAGTAACATTTTTTAAATTTTGTAATCTGTGAAAATGTTTAAACAACCATAACTCATTCATTTTAAGTCGGATTGACACGCGGTTTTTTCCAACGTTTAATTTACAGTTTGTAGATGAATTTAGACTATAATTTTGTTGATTTTGGTATTATATTCAATAAGTTACAGTCTTTCAAAGTTGAGCTATCAAAGCTGAAAAATTTCAGCTTTTCAGTAACATTTTTTAAATTTTGTAATCTGTGAAAATGTTTAAACAACCATAACTCATTCATTTTAAGTCGGATTGACACGCGGTTTTTTCCAACGTTTAATTTACAGTTTGTAGATGAATTTAGACTATAATTTTGTTGATTTTGGTATTATATTCAATGAGTTACAGTCTTTCAAAGTTGAGCTATCAAAGCTGAAAATTTTCAGCTTTTCAGCAAGTTTTTTAAAATTTTGTAATCTGTGAAAATTTTTAAACAACCATAACTCATTTGTTTTAAGTTGGATTGACCTGAGGTTTTTTCCAACATTTTGTTTACAGTTTGTAGATAAATTTAGACTATAATTTTGTTGATTTTGGTATTATTTTCAGGGAGTTACAATCTTTCAAAGTTGAGCTATCAAAACTGAAATATTTCAACTTTTTAACTATTATTTTAAACTATAATTCTGAATTTTATGTATGTTTGATAGATAAATCACATGAAAGGGATCTTGGTGAACTTGATTTATATGTTAGTTGATTTTATTTGGAAAATTAATTTTGCAAGATATAATATTATAACATCAAGGTAGATTAGTTATGCATGAAGCAGAAACATAATCATTTTTATAAGTTGTATCGTATCAAACCTAAAAACTTATTTTAACGACTTGTAATCTATGCAATTAAAGTTGTACCGGTCCAAGAACCGGAAAACCCGGACCTGGACCCGGACCCGGACACGGACACGGACATGACTCATCCGGTCCGGTCCACGGTCCACAATATTCTCCATAACCGGTCCGGTCCAAGCGACGGTCCGGTCCGGTTCGGTCCAAATGCTCACCCCTAGATGGGTGGGTTATGAGTAGAGTACCATAGCAGAATAAATAAAAATTATACAATAATCCTATCGAAAAATGTATATGGGATGTTTTGGAAATGCTTTAGAGTTGCAAACTTTGTTGAATCGAGGAAGGAGTTTGATTTTGCTGCTTCGAGAGTTGCGAGCATAATATATAAACCATACATCGAACTATATTATTGAATCACCAAGATGAAAAGAAGTTCTTACATTGATCCATTGATCATGTCATCTTCTATGTGAAACTTTGACAACGAAGTATAACCGATGTGTGATGGTCTTAAAAAAAAAAAAAACTTGTAGTATTTCTTCAAACAACTTTTGGTAACGAGCCTCTAAGATTGTACAAAAAAATGGTGTCTCTTTGCATGTTGGGGAAAAACCACATTTCTCAAAATATTAAAGTGTTAATTAAACTCTAATAATATTATTTAATGATGAATAGTCTTATGTAGTTTACAAACATAAATACACTCAGGTGTTATATATTTTGCATTAGAATATTCTAATGCAATCTCTCATTTGAGAGGTGTTATATATTTTGCATTAAAATATTCTAACAATCTCTCACTTGGGTGTTACGTGTTTGTATAACACCCGATTCAAGGTATTTCTCGTTTTGACCCTTATTACGAAAAATGTTTGCAAAGTTGGTCCCCTTGGCGATTAAAAGAAACATGTGTATGCTAGCTAGTACGCTGGGCGTACTCGCTCAGACCACAAACACTAATTTTTAGGGTTTAGACTATATTTAAGCATAATTATGGACTCAAGACCCTTTCCCTCATCAGCCTCCTTCCCTCTAAAGATACCCCACGAAACCTTAGCTTGTTCTTAAGTATTTTTGAGCCTTGGTGGTTAACTTTTGGTGTTTTTACTCACTTTGAAGAAGAATGAGCTTGGTGTTCAAGGATTGGTTGGAGTGGAGCTCATAGATCTAGAGTCTTCATCCATTTTGCTAGCATTTGGAGGTATAAAGCTTCTATCTTGATGACTCTATGTGTTAGATCTAGTCTAGGTCTTGTTTTGGGCATATTATGGTCCCTTGAGTCATCCTTGTGAGTATGAGCTACTCCAGGATCTTAGAATGTTAGACCTTAGCATTTCTGATGTTATTAGTGCATAAAAATGTCATCTTGATGGGTGTTGATGAAGAATGCTAGAGTTGGTGTTCATATTAAGGTCTTAGATGGATAAAAACAGGTATTGGGTCCCATTAAGTCATGCAAAGGAGTAAAGTTGCCAGCTTTATTGATTAAGACCTTATTTAGACCTAGATCTGAGGTTTGGACGTTAAGGTCTTAAGGGATTAACACCTTTACTTAAGTAATTAAGACCTTTACTTAAGGAATGGGACTCTGGCCAATACGTCGGGCGTACTTCTTAGTACGTTGTGCGTACTGGGTATGAGGCCTGATGGAAGTCACCCGAGTACGCGGGGCGTACAGGTCAGGCTACCTGCTGTAGGTCTAGGATGCTTTTGGGCCATTTTTGAGGGTTTGGGCCTTGATTGAATGAGTTTAGCCTTAAAGGGTAACATGGTCTCTTACCCTAAGATTCGGGATTAGGGACTTGGGCTCTCGGTTATGGTTTACGACCTAATTATTAGTTAGGGTATTATTTGATCATATTTAGTGTAGGGATTTTTCCGGATCAGCAGTCCGGGCATTTATCTGATTTCTTTCAGCAAATTGAGGCGAGTCTCCTCCCAGTGTTTGGTGGGTCGAAGGTACCAATGGCAGCCCATGGATTATTGTTTGTAACAAC